ATCAGTTCATAAAAGATTATGTTTGGCACAAGTTAGCCATTCTGAGAAAAAAGTTAGCCAGAAACATGTATAAAAAAAATTAAATGGCCGTCCTCCTCTCTCTGAGACGAATTGCTGTAGGTGCAAATACTGCAAATGATCGTTGCGATGACCAATCCCGTGTGACTGTCGATATTGGCCTTCACCATGCACAGTGCACCCAGCCACAGTAGCGTGGAAGCGACTGCCGACTGCGGGGTCGACGTCGCAAGTATCGACAACCGGCTGCAGGAGATATTTCAAGCTTTAAGGGTAAATGTACGGGTACATCTATGATGACTAAAATATGGCTAATATATGCGTTGAATTACTGGGGTTGGATTTGGATAAATGTACCAAAGTCAAAAAATTAATTAATAATCAGGATAATGTAAACGTCAAAAAACGAAGTTCAAGCGATTTTTTTTGTGTATGTCCTTTTTCTTCGCCGCAACTGAACCGATTTTCAAAAACTTTACGTCTTTAGCAAAGTAGTAACAACAACAAATTATAGTTACAAGATTAGCGGACAGACAGACCGATGAAAATGAGCGACATGGTTTTTCGTGATGTACATGTCATATAACATCCAAAAAGCATAATATCTGATTTTAGAAAATTTTCAGGATTACAATACTTATCCGCCCGTAAGCATGGGAAGTAAAAAGTATACCTAGCTTTTGCAAGACTCAATTTGTGAAAAAAAAAACTGCTAAAAATACCGTTAAGACATTAACCAGTGACGCGTCGCGACGCTTGTCTCTAAAAAAATTGTCTAATCTACACAAGTTTTTTTTGTGATGCGTTACCTTTTCGGAGAAATTATGAGGATAAAAGGACCTTTTAAAGACGTAAATATAATCTTAATATCACTAACAGTAGTTGAAATAACGCAGTGCTAATTACTGCACCAAGTACCCGGCCAAGTACAAAACACACTTAGTCCATCTCTAAAATGCATCAGTAAATAAACTATAGTGCCTGTTATCTATTCATATACAAAAAGAAGATTCACATTGACGACCAAGTTGCCTTCTATTTCTCTTTATGTCATGCTTAACTACTCCATTTTTTCTGGTGTAACCTATATTTTCATGTCCCTCCATTATTTTATATTGATTTACATGTTTGTCCCATTCTTTCTAGTTAGCTACTTTCCTTCTCCTTTTTGAGGATACTCTTTCTGTATCATTCGCCTCAACACTTTCACTTAATATGTCATCCACCAATTCACCAACCTCTGAATTCTCTCTCCTTGATGGCATTTCATCTTCCTCGTCCCCTAATTAGAATACATTATCAGGATCATAATCTGAATCGATTTTGTTTATCAAAGATCCTTCAAGCAAGAGTTCTTCAGCATAATGACTGAAACTCATATGTAATATTTGGCACTAAGTTGTTAATATTTTGTTGGCTTTGATCATTACTACCTGCCTGCTTTAGACCTAAAACAAGCAGTTTAGCTCCTCTTGAATTAGAAATCTGAAATATGTTATTATTGTCAATGAAGAAGCTGAATCATAGTCAAATCTAGAGGAATGCTTTTGCTCATTTGCTGAATATCACTTAAATGAACCAGCAACCAATGACAATGAACGTTTAAATCAAACTTCCAAATAAACAAGTGAAACCATTGAATCAAAGTAGAAATTTCTCATAACAATTCATAGACACCATAAATATCAATAATTCAGTCAAATACTGAAGGCACTGTCTAGCAGCCAACACAAAAATGTTTGGTAAGCAAATGAATACTGAGGGATACATCTTATTGGAACCAAAAACTAACAGCTGATTTTGATAGAAAATATCATTAGAACATCAACATATACAATGGTTTTCTCAAAATAACATAAGATATGCCCAAATGCAAAACTAGGTTAAAAAAAATTATAAGTAGGTCTGAAACTGCAAAACTATTTGACATTTCATTCATCATGTGACACTTTTTTAGATGCTATCCCTGAAGTGAAAAAATTAATTTGCTTTTTCTGAAAAAAATCAATCTTCACCACACTTCAGGGAAGAAAGGTCATCAGAAAAAGAAATTTATTATGAAAAGGTATTAACCCTCAAAACTTTTTAAAGACTGGGGATAGCAAAATCTCTCATGTTGGCCAGAATCCTAAAAATCGCTAATATAGTACACAAACCATGCTAAATATTAAAATGTTAAGGACCACCTATGTTTTCAAGGCGGTCACCACACTCACTTCCATCCTTGTTTTTCAATGACGGATGTAAAGACCACCAAAATTCCTCAAAATATAAACTTAAATCCTGAGTTCTACAAGATGCAACAGTACCTAAACTACTACTTTGAACAAATTAATATACATGTATATGTAGCCATACTTAGGCCCGTATCGTCAGTCGTCCCTACAATTGTAGGGCGCCTTTATGGCCTCCTTGATTGTCATAGTTTTCTACTTCTCCGTGTCAGCGCTCTATTTTGAGGTTATGTCACAAACATCTATTTGCATCAAATTGTGCTTGCTTTTGAGTTATATCATGTTTTATCACCCTGAAATTTCCTACAATTTAAAAAGAAAACATATCTTTACAATAGGAGAGCGCTGACGCTGACACGGGACAAGTGTAATCTAGAAATTTTTGAAGGAGAGAAAGCAGTATGACAATCAAGGAGGCTATAAACGCGCCCTACAATTGTAGGGACGACTGACGATACAGGCCTTAGATATATACCCTTTTTCACTAGTATCCATCACACATTGACCTCTACCAAGGTAAACAGCTGATAAGCAAATGAACTTTTCTGAATAACAGAGCTTTTAGCAAGTAGAAAATGAGTCTGGAGCATACAAAAAACCAAAACAAATTATGGCTCTGTCTACCTGACATGACAGATCCGTCACAATTATGTCCTTTGCTGATATTGGGAATTTTGAAATATTACTAGATAATCAGCTGTAATTATACTGTAATAGATACTCCTGAAAAAGACTATACATACCGAGTTGTCCAGTATTTATTCCATGGGGAGCGAGACAAAACTAATTCAAGAAAATGAGAATCGCTCACATATGAATATCTATGTATCATCCATGTAGGAATAAATATTTCCACATATAATTGCAATATTTTGGATAATGGTACACATACCATAACCATGTATTTAGGAGTTATTGCAGATTTAATGTGTTCACAACAGTGTAATACCTATGTAATTCTGTGCAAACAAAATCTTGGTTGGACCATTTTTTATATGGAAATTTGTTCTTCCAAAACACCATTTTCCTGTAATACCGTCAACATCAAAACTAACACACAACATGTGATATCGGAGAATTGATTACAGGATATAGATTCCGATCACAGGAATTTTTACAGCACTCCATTATATTTTTAGTTCATTTGATCCCTATGTTGTTTTAGAAAATACCATTTAAGTTACTGTTTTTATTTTTTGTTTTTGATTACTTATGTTATTTCAGAAAATATTGTTTTAGTTTATTTATTAGCCTATTTTTGTTAATTTTACACAATATATTTTAGATTAGTTATTCACTCATTTTTAGCAAATATACCTTCTGAAATGTCATTTTTATTACCATATCTCCTGTGGTCTTTTCTACAACGTCACTTGTTTTGTATTTAACGTCAAGGTATTGCTGGGAAATGGTCTTTTGGAAAAATAAATTAGCATATAAAAAGTTCCCCATCCAAGACTTTTTTGTGGAGAATTACAAATTATTAGACTGTTGGGTACACATTGAGCCTTCAAGAACCCACTAAATACGTGGTTATGTCAAGTGTACCATCACCTGTTTTTGATTAAAAAGAAATTCATAAAACTAACAAACTTACATGGATAAAAGATCAACAGGTTATCATAAGGTATAAATAGAGGTTGTGTCATTATGTGTTAGTTCCAATGAACTGTCAACACATGGAATCGCCCCGTCCCATTTGTACAATGAAACGATAATGCTGCGAACATACGACAAAGAGGTCCGAGAGAGAGAGAGAGAGAGAGAGAGAGAGATGGAGCTAGTCAGGGCAAAAAGCGCGTGGAATTAATAATAATAATAATAATAATAATAATAATAATAATAATAATAATAATAATAATAATAATAATAATAATAAGCGTTTATTGCACAACAGTTTTAACACCATTCACAGAGCAAACTACTATAAAAAAAACAAAATCACCATGAGGTAGCTTGTGAAGAAAAAAAACAATAATAATTCATGTATCAATAACAAAAAATAAATATAGTTACAGCTTAAAAATAAGAAACGTAAGATAAATCAAAAGTGAGCACGCAATTTGCACTTCAATTCACCTATGCTATATAAGAATATGTCACATACATCGGCTATTTTGTTCGCATTCACACACATCATGTTGACAGGCGCTTTCGACAATAATTTTGTTTGAGCTCTTTGACATAAAAAAGGAACATTATACCTTGATGTTAGTCGTGGTACCAGAAACTGTATTTGTGAAAGTATTGTAGGGCAGTCTATTAGATTATGCAGTAATTTATATAAAACTATAACTGCTGATTGCTGACGCCGTTGTTCTAAGGATTGAATGCCAAATTTATGAAGAAGGATGTTGTATTCTGTACCTCTAGTAGGATATATGCCATCGATCTTAAAACATGAAAATTTTGAAAATTTCTTTTGAAGTTTATCAACAACATCAATATACTGCTTGTAAATCGGACTCCATATCAAAGATCCATATTCAAGCTTAGACCTAACCAAGCTAAAGTATAATGTCTGCAAAGTCAAAACGTCAAAAGATTTACAATTCCTGATAATGAAGCCATAGGTTTGGTAAGCGCTTGAAATGATTTGATTGATATGCTCATTAAAGGTTAGATGTTGATCAAAGTAGATACCTAAGTCTTTCACAGTTTCACTGCGCTCAAGAACATGTTCGATCATTGTATAATTATATACCATGGGGTTGGTTTTCCTTGAAAAAGTTACTACTTTACACTTACTTATATTAAGATGAAGTTGATTCTTGGCACACCAGCTTTGCAATTTATCTATTTGACCTTGAACAAATGCACAGTCTTCCAAGCATGAAACGGATGAATAAAATTTTAGGTCGTCTGCGAACATTAACTCAGTACAAGCCAAAGATTCACACAGATCATTCACAAACAATACGAACAACAGTGGTCCTAAATTCGAACCCTGTGGTGCGCCACTGGTTGAGACATAAACATGTGATATGTAGCCATTATAAAAAACATACTGTTTCCTTTCAAACAGATATGATGTTAAGAGCGCTAAGTAAATGTTGTTGAAGCCCAGGTACTCAAGCTTTCGGAGCAAAATACTGTGGCTGACCCTATCGAAGGCCTTGGAGAAATCGATGTACACCACATCTACCTGTCCTCTATTGTATAATCTTTCGCACAAGTATTAGCTAAATACCATTAAGTTTGTTAGTGTTGAACGCTGCCTTATAAAACCATGTTGGTCGATGGAAATATTATTTTTAGTGGACAGGTAAATGCGGTTGTACAGTACGATCTCCAAGAGTTTTGCAAAATTATTGAGTATAGATATAGCCCTATATTCACTGATACAGTGATAATTTTTTGACTTTGGAATTGGGCAAACTTTGGCAATTTTCCATTTATCGGGGAAAACAGTCGTTGTTAGGATTAAGTTGAAGATAACCCGTAAAGGATGAACTAATTTCCTGATACAATCTCTAACAATAAAAGATGGGATTTGATCAGGTCCAGCAGTCAATTTACTTTTAAGCTTTCTACAGGCCACTAAAATTTCCTCATCTGATATTGGCTCACAACTAATGTCGACGAGTCCACTATGACTGAAATCAAAGTTCAACTCAGTATCGACATTGGCAGTTGAGTAAACGCTGGAGAAAAAATCAGCGAATGCGTTGACTATATTTGCGGATCACCAAATACTCGTTTCCATACAACATTCTATTGGGAATCCTAGAAGTGTTGTTTTTACTATGTACGAAAGACCAGAAAGACTTAGGGTCATCATTTAGCTGATTTTGAATGGTTTGAAGATAGATATTATATGCCTCTTTGGTTTTAAGCTTAAATATTTTCCTGATTCTGCCGAATTCTTGGTAATCTTCGTTAGCACCAGACCTTTTAAATTTTTTGTGCGCTTTGTCTTTTTGTTTTACTAGTTTTATAATTTCACTGGTGTACCAAGAGGGATATTTATGCCTGAAATTTTTATATTGTGGAACGTGTGCATCAAATACTTCGTAAAGTTTGGTATAAAATGCATTAATTGCATCATTTGTGTCACTAGTGTTATCCAAGAAATCCCAATTAACCAATAACAAAGAATTGTACAGCGAAAAAAAGTTAGCACGTCTAAAATTATATCTTTTTTGGTCAGTACTGACTGTGACGTATTCACTCTTTTTGCAGACAGTTTTTAATGTTACGGACGAAGAAGGATGATACACGTCTTCATCCACTAATGGAGCTAAATCTCTATAAACAATACAATCGATGTTACTTATTACTAAGTCCAGGATTCTATCATATTGGTTATGAATATTATTATACTGTTTCATGTTCCAGAAGTTGAGCCAATGAACAATGTAGCGGGTCTTTGCGTCATTTAAATTATTTTCCACAAAGTTTGGAGAATTGAAATCACCCAGAAAGAAAACACGTTTGGAATGCATGATTTCAAAGTTTTCTAACATTTCAAAAAAAGCTTCAAATATATCAATAGAAACATGTGGTGCAGCATATATGACAGCGAAATAAAGATTCTGATGAGATACAATGCATTTGCATACCAAAAAATCTATTCCTGGGAAACTTGTATCAAACTGCATAGTATCTACTACAACAGAGTTAAGAGCCGATTCAAATGCCAGTAGTACACCACCACCCATTGACAGGTTCAATTGATTATGTTTTCTGTCCTTACGATGAACGTCAAAAGAATTGGGAAATAATTCGAGAGAGTTTTACTTCGGGCTTTAGCCACGTTTCGCTTAAAGCAAATACATTATACTCACAGTCACTCACAGCAGGATAGAATTTGTTAATTTTGCTGTTTAGCCCTCTAACATTCTGATAGTACACGGTCAAAAAATCACTACATACACTATTGGGCCGTCCTAGTTTAAAGGAACAATCCTTGGTACATTGTTGATGAACTTGATTCTACAGTTATTATCTCCTGATTCATGACGCCTGGCTAACTCAGTTCTGAGACTTTTATAATGCTCCTTTTGCCTTTTGGTGCGATCCTGTACGATGTTTACATGCTTGAAGGTATTACTTGAATTGAATGAATTGCATAGGAAACAGAGGATTCTTAGAGAAGATTTAAAAGTTATTCAGGCAACTGGAACGAGATAAAATCCTGGAAACGTAATTATAATTAAAAAAACAAGTTTATTTATTTATATATACATATGTATGAAACTTGACAATAAATCTCCTTTACACATTTGAATATATAAAAATTAGTATTTAACATAAGTAATCAATAATTCAGGTAGCAAAGAGATTACATGTCTGCTTATAATTAACTGCTCTAATATGCTATATCTTACATATAAATATTAGAGATCTAAGAAATATCACAATAAATACATGTTATTTTCTATAAATCTTTATAATGTTCCAGATAGTATTTATGCACATTTAAATTTATTTTTATAGTACTGTAGCTGTCAACACTAAATGTAGTGGGATGTAATGGGGGGGTTTTGTAGAGATTAAAGTGTACAAAGAAAAAACCCTATATATATATATATATGTATACAAAATATTTGTGCACAATGGCATTAACAATACTGTAGATGCACAGTTTTTCATTATAATACAATATAGGTTATACCATAGTTCATTCTAGAAATTATGTCCCTGATAAAAACATTAAATGGAAGTTTTAAAAGATTATTAATGATATAATGATTAGTGGGTTCATCTGTGAGTGTATATCTTTATACCTAATTTAAAAATTGTCGATTTACTGATTTTTAAAATGAATCGTTTTTGTTAACCTTTGCCTACTCTGTCTGTTATTTGATTTTTTGTGGAATTTATGTGGTGAAGCCGAATAGTGAAATATATTTTCATGATAAGTCTGACCAATTGAATGATATGTCCATCAAGTGGATCTTGCTCTAGAGAGTGCTTAGATAAACATAAAAAAACCTCGTTCAAATTTAAATTTCTCATTGCAGCAGAGACCAATCTTAACATTATATTAGGATGAGAAAAGTTTGTTTCAGTTTTTATTATACCTTCTGCAACCATACAAATTTTTACATCTTTTGTAGGCTTGATTAAACCTCCTCTATTTTTCAGATTCAGCAGCATGCAATCAGAATCAGATGTTGTCACTGATCGAACACATTCATTACAATTCAAGGTTTGAACAAATTTTTTGCTAACAAACCTGCTATATATTGAACTATACCACAAATATATACACAATTTAAAATTTTGTGGTGATTGACAATATACTGCTCCTGCGAATCAGGGGAAAAATCTTCCTCAAATTCGTACAAAAGATCAAAGCAAGGGTTTTTCATTTTTCTGGACTAGACATTTAAAATAGATGTATGATCCATAGCAAGGCAATTTGCACTTCAGACGAAGAGATTTCGCTGTGAATTAATAACCTCTTATACGCTTGTTCAAAATGCCAAGCTGTTGGATTATTTGAAAATCCTCCTCTACTGCGTATTGCTGCAAATGATCCTGGCTTAATTTATAGGTCAATAAAAAATTTAATACTTCACCTTTCACCAAATCCTCGAATAAGTTTTTCACACTAACTAAATAAATTATCAAGCCCAAATAACCTGTTTTTCTACTGGTTTCTAATATATTAACACCTTCATAGGTTGTTAGTGTGCTTAAATATCTAATAGAACTATTTACAAAATTTGTTAGAAATTCCTCATTACCCCTATACAAAGGTTTTTTGAACTGGGTGGAGCCAAAAAGTTTCTTACATTTAACAGATCAAATATATCATTTATATTTCTGCAATATGTTGCAGTGGCTTCTGCATATTGAAAAGAACGTATATTTAAATCTTTTGCACAATACTCTAAGGCATCACTCACACTTGAACTAAACGTTTGTACTGCTAACTTTACTCCCATTTTTTCTTTGTAGTAGTTCTAGTGTCTCCTCCTCAGCTTGGTGGCGCAATGTAGACCTGTATCCTCTTGCAAGTTGACAAGCTGTTTGAAATATTCCACCTAATTTCATTCCCTCCACCATTTTTTAAAACACCATAGCCGCCTAAAGTATTGCGTACCAATTTAATCATGTGACAAGCATCTAATATTATATGTATTTTCTCATTATTGAGAGAGTATGAAAAAAGGCTTAGTACATCGAAAAGTCAAATTTGCACCTAATAAATTGGCCATAAGGATATTGGATGCATCACCATCAAAAGTCAAACTCTTAATTAACATTCCATTGCTTTCTAATTGCAGTAAACAGACACTCACAAAGGTAGCCTTTTCTTCAGGCGATGAAGATTCTACTAGAAAATATGCTATTGGAACTTTCCATCTACTGTTCATGCAAACAAGCATGAAAACTAAAGCTTTTGTAGCCTTTGGGATCTCCTCACTGCTTTGCATTGCAACACCAATATTTATGTAGCCTACTAATCTACTTCCTGTCCAATGTACATGCTGACGAATATACATTTCATCCATCATCAAGGCACCAACAAGCTGTTTTCTCTTTTGTTTATTAACATCCACCTTAATTTTGATAGCACATGCTTCTGCACTATATCCAGGTGTACCATCTACAACACTATACCATTTTGAAAGTGTGTGTGGATGTAGTAGAACATTTTTTCCAAATATTTTTCTAACATAGTTGTATGCTAAAAATTCAATGTTAGTGCAAAACACCTTAATTCTGGGCTATACTTGTTAGATTTTCCTTTTTTCAACTGCCTGAAAAGCAGTTTCTTTTGGGTTTCTGAGAGACTTTCCTGTAAATTTTAAGCTAATAATTTCATGCACTAAACGTAAAACCTAAATACTGTGATGGTAAAATAATCACTCTACCTAGTAATCAATAGATATGCAACAGAGTTCAACAATTGAAATGAAAATTTTACAAATGAAAATAAACAACAACAAGGTAACAATTGTAGCAGCAAAGTGTCTGTTCATCAAATGTCTACCTTCAATACTATTTACTGAGCTACAGATATTCTCTTCTCCTTAAGTAGTTCATCTACCAGACTATTCAGACTTTTTATTTTATTTCTTTGTCTACGAATTTTACACTGATTGTACTTGTTAATTTTTTTGTACTTATGAACAGTTTCATGAGCTGTTTTCCAAAATCTCTTCCGACCCTGCACATTATGTAAATCAGAAATTTTGAAATCCCCAAAGCATACTGGTGATCTTCTGACCCTACAAACAAAAAGAGGTTGTAACAAATAAGAAATACAAAGTTCAATGACAATTACCTTAAATTGCATATGTTTGAAGGTTCACCTGATTTTAAAAATCCTAGTTTTTGTGTTACATTTGAAGGACCAGCCGCCAATATATTTCCATCATCAGCATGATCGCCATTTTCAGGTTCTTCTACTACTTCACCAATAGCCAAAGTTTGTTCTAAAAATAATTACATTACTAAGACCCACTTCATCATTGTAAATTTATATCATTTTTAAAAGTAGAAAAGTTAAAATCTTGAGCTTAGACTGGGAATATTTCAAAGAACATACCTGTTGTTTTTGAGTTGGATTCTTCATGTTTTCTTTTCAAAACGCTTCGATGGCTAGGTTCTTCCTTGAGATGGACTGGAAAATCAAACACAGATGGAACTGCCACCTTTTTTAGTACCTTATTTCTATGAACATTAACTTCATAATCCTCTGGAGTGAAATGCTTTTCACAAATTACCGTTGTTGTACTGGGAGTAAAGTTTTCTCTTCTTATAGCATGTAACCACAACTTCCTCATGTTAGGATCTCTAGGTATCCTAAAAATCCAGATATTTCCACGAATTACCAATTAACAGGTAATTCTCACACAAAAATGAATGAGATGATTAAAACCAACCTGTGAAACTTCATTTTCACATCTTTTCTGCGTCTATTGCAACAATTCACCGCACTGCAAGATTCAACCATTTTTAAACAAATATCACATAAAACAACAGCTCTTGAAGGCTGTCCGGCATAAAAATGCTTATAATACTTGTCGCAAACTATCACTATTAATCTTTTACGTCACTGAAAACAAACATTCACCAAAAATCCTTAAAACATAAATATGGTAATACCACAATGGACCACGATGTTTTGCCCTGACTAGCGCTTTCCTTCTCGTTTCTTATTCTAGCATCTAGCCGCAATCAGATGCCGCAATGAATTCGCGTTACGCCTGTTCCATCAGTGTTGACAGTTCATTGGTTCATTCGGGTCCCCCCCGTCACGACTCTGGCTCAAAACTCTCACATAAATCCGTCAAACGTCAAACCCATTAAAACCTTAAACCTTCCAATCGCAGTATTGCCAAGTCATGACGATTTATTTCTGGAACTACAGAAATCCTTAACAGTTCCTAGCTAGGCGATTAGCAATTTTTTATATTGAACCAGCTTACCAGATCAGTTAACTGCGTAGCAATAGAAAATGTTTAGTGCTTTTGCTCTGCTCCTTCATGATGATCTTATTTCGACTTTGTGCAGTTGCGAGAAAAACCAACCTGGCTGGAGCCATTTGATTTGTCGATCTATTCGTCACTTGCTTGTCTGGGCGGTCCGTAGGACCTTTGTTACTGTCTAATGTACGTTCGTCGAATCTGTCAGTGATGGTTGTCCAGAAACCTGACATTGTCAAGGAAAACAGAAAGGGAAAGAGAGGAAAAAAGAAATAGAGCAAAAAACAGAAGTGTATCAAGCACCTAGTTCTTTTGACTTGGTATACAGATTAATTTTGATGTGAACTAGAAAGAAATTTTGATTCAGGTTTTGTTAGAGTGTAATTTTGGGTTTACTAGTACTTCGCCCTAATATTTGATCACAGTGCGAGCCGTGGTCTTGAATGTTTACGAACTTGCTCCACTGTGTAGCCCACTGAGTTACGCAAAAGATAAATGCTGTAAGATTCCGCGTGACTATAACGTCACTGCGCCTAAAGCTTGCGGGTGGCGGTACAAGTCCGCCAACGGGCCACTTTAGGTCTATTTAACATCACTAACACGTAAAAAGAAGGCGGTCGACAAGGACCAGTCGACCGAGGCAGTACCACCCGTTAGCTTTTCCCAAGATGTCTTATAAATGTCCGCATGTTTCCACACCTAAGCTATGCAGTCGGTTATCCTCCAAAACAAAGAAATTAATGATGATGG